GTGTCCTCCAGCTTTCTGTCAGCTGATTGGTCACCTCCATCATGCTCCGCCCCCTGCTCCTCCTGTTTGCTGTGCTAGCAGTGCCAGGTAAGAAGAGTTTGTAAAGTGTTTCCAATCAGACTTGATGACAGGTGCTGATGGTAGAAAGAAGCTTTAAGTGCTGCTGATCTGTCAGACGTGAAGACATTTTGCTGCCATCTTTGTTTCTGAGCAGAGCTGCTAACTGATGCTGTCAGACGGAACAACAGGAGCTGTTTTATTCCTTCATCAAGTCAAAGTCATGTTCAAACTCTCCTCTCATGTCTCTCTGTCTCTGCAGGTGATGCTGGAATTACTTTTAACTCTTCCAGAGGATTTGACATCAGCTCCTGTCCTGTTGCATTTTTTGGACAGACTTATGACCAAATCTATGTGAGTCGATTACATTTTTGTTATAATCTTTTCTGGAAAGACATGTTTCTGGAAAATAATTGTCAAAATTGAAGGTGAAACCAGACAAATGCAGATGTCTGTTCTGTAGCACCTCCTTGGTGAAACAGCCTGAACGCCCCTGCAGGCTGGCTGCACAACATGTCTGGAAACTCATGAGACATCCTCCTGATTAAAAAATAAAATCACTCAGATAATTTATTTCAAATGTTGACTTGTGTTCATGTAGTTCATATTTTGCTGGTATAGACAGGTTTAGTAATATTTAGTAATTATAAAAGAGTTACTGTGACAGCCCCACATCCCAGCTACACAAAATCCAACATTGCCGTGACTAAAAACTGTAAACCTCTGCCTTTTATTGAAATAATGWCAGGAAGCAAAGACACTGCATCTTATTCATGCGGATGTCCTGATTGATTAAGTCTCTGATTTTTAGAACCTTTTTAAACAAACTTTAAACTTTTTTGACTTTTTGTCGTAAATAATTTGYAATATTTCTTGTGTTTCTGACTCTTTCAGGTGGACATAGAAGCTGACCACTTTGTGATTTGTTTTGGMCCTTCTTGCGACAATGGTACCTCTATAGACATGATAATAGGACCTGTACCGGACCCAACAGTCTTCCAAGAAATTGTCACTCAGTCAGTGGTTCTGAATGTTCTGATTCGTGGCAATTTTAATTTTRCATCCGACTTGAAGTGCTACGTGGTCTTTGCTCTGGGCAACAATGTGAGTGTTGTTAGTGTACAAAACCTGTAATTAGTGCTTTTCTACAGGTTGTTTAAATGTTCTTATGATTTAATTGTTTCCTTCTTTTTATGATAGTTAAAACAGGCATTTATTACAGCGAAGCCTTTAGTTCACAGAAGAACATGCTGACAGATTGTTCACTCTTTGCAGTTTGCCATTTATCTGGTGAGCTTTGGAACACAAGCATCTGTGGTTTTAAACTCCAACGGTGGAGGAACAACTGTGAGTATGTGGGGCTGCTTCAGACATTTATATTTAGATAGATAATAACAATAAACTAYGTTGCATCTAAAACGTGAGCCAAACGTTTTATTTAGTTTTCTCTTAAACATTGCATTGGACTGGGCATGAACATTTGTAAAAGTTTTAACCTCAGTATGTGTGATGTCAGTGGTCTCTGGTTGTAACACTGTTGTTTTCTAGCTGACAGATATCACTGCAGAAGGGATCCATCGCCAAACACTGAATGTCACAAACACAGCGGACGTAGGGCAATTTTTTGACTTTGCTGACGTCTCCAGCTGCAGACACAGAGGTTGGCTGAATTCAAATATRAACGTTCACAAAAAAATACACACTAATATTTAAATGTTTCTGCTTGTTTTCATGTACAGAAAATAAATCAGTTTCTAAACTGACACAGATCTTTTGTTTTTCAGGTCAAGTCTATAACGCTAGTTCAGTASAAAATCTTCCTGATTACTGTGAAAATGTTTACTGTAGTCCTGAAGCAGTCCTCTTTGTGTCGGGCGGCTGTGGGCCCCTCGAAACCTGCAACGGCAACAACCAGTAAATATGCCTCCTTGATATTTAAAGCAAAAAGCTCTGATCAAACAAACTAACTGAGAATGTTGAGGTTTCTTGTGTTTCACTGTAGCTGCAGTCTGTTTTACAGAAAACTTTTATTGTAAAATAGAAGCAATGGGCCTCATGCAAGAACATGTTCGTATTCTTCTCCTAAATTTCTCTTACTTTTGTTCGTACAAAGGGTTCGTACGAACATGTCACGTCAGATTCAACAAACTCTTCTATCTTCAGGAAAAGTGTAAATGAGCATCATAAACTGATGAATGCCACTTGTTCATATTCAGCTGCTCGTGCACGAGAGATTAGCAAAATTACCACCCTAAAAACACCAAATAAGGCTATGTTTCCTGCCCCACATACCAG